AGGTCAGGAGTTCGAGATCAGCCTGGCCAACAGGGTGAAACTCCATCTCTACTAAAAATACAAAAAAAAAAAAAAAAAAAAATTAGCCGGGCATGGTGGTGGGAGCCTGTAATCCCAGCTACCTGGGAGGCTGAAGCAGGAGAATCGCTTGAACCCAGGAGGCAGAGGTTGCAGTGAAGCGAGATCGCACCATTGCACTCCAGCCTGGGTGACAACAGCGAAATTCCTTCTCCAAAAAAAAAAAAAAAAGAAAAGAAAAAAGAAGAAGAAACTGTGGTTAGCCAGGTGCTGTGGCTCCTGCCTATAATCCCAGCACTTTGGGAGGGTGAGCGGATCACTTCAGGTCAGGAGTTCGAGACCAGCATGGCTAACATGGTGAAACTCCGTCTCTACTAAAAATACAAAAATTAGCCGGGCGTGATGGTGCCCGAGTCCCAGCCACTAGGGAGGCTGAGGCAGGAGAATCGCTTGAACCCAGGAGGCAGAGGCTGCAATGAGCTGAGACTGCACTACTGCACTCCAGCCTGGGTGACAGAGCGAGACTCCGTCTCAAAAACAAAAAACAACTGTGGTTATATTTCTCAGATAAATTAATCCAAATATCCCAATAAATTTTCACCGTTAATAAGCTCTTAGGACTTAGCAACCTCACCAGCCCTTTCAGAAAGTTTTCAAAATCCCACTTCTCTACTATTATAAAACAGTGATACTAGTCAGCGGGTGCACAAACCAAACCTAATTTCGAGTTCTGAGGCCTTGAGCAAATTGCTTTTTAGCAATTTTTCCCAGCTTTGAATCCTTTGGTGAGTAAAACGAGGGAAACTCAAAGCAATTCCACACTCTATGGTGAATTGTCTCTTTCATGTATTCTGTGTATCCTGTTTGGGTAGAGAAGAGGATGGAAAGCCAGACTAGGTAGGAGAGGTTTCATTTTTTTGTGGGATAGACCCTGACTGAAGGACTAAGGAGGAAGGAGGATCTATGGTGGGAAAAAAGGGGGAACCTTTAGGAGACTCTGGGAGACAAGGATGAGATCCCAGAGTGAAGAAAGGAGGGAGTGTCTGTGGAAACACAGTGAAGATCCCAAGGTCTTAGGGAAAGAACTTCAGGACAGGTGATTAGGGGTGTGGAGAGGGAGGCCTTGGCACCCTAGGGCCAAGAATGGAATTCTGGGGAAGGAACCCTGTGGAAAGACTGAAAAGGATGCTGAAGGTGGACAGCCAGATATGAAACCATGGAGGGGGCTCTGGGAAAACAGGAAGGTTAGGGGAGATTATGAGGTTCGAGGACGGGATCCTGGTGGAAAAGCCTTCTGTGACAGAAAGATCCGAGGAGACGAGGGCGGGGAATGGGGACCGAGAGAGCCAAGAACTGCACTCTGGCGGGAGAGGTCTGTGGAGAGACCTGGAGGGAGGGGGTATCTACAAGGTGGGGGCGGGAGACCCCTCAAGTCAGCGATCTGACTTACTTTCTCCGCTGAACTTGTACTGCTTTAAACACATCTTCACGTTTCAGCACCACGAAGTCGCCGTCGCGGATGCGGTGGTCTCCGGGATGCTGTGGCTGTGGGCCCGGCTGCTCCCCTGAGCCCTCCATGACGCTCAGCCGGTCGCCGTGCTCCACGGCGTCTCGCCCCTCCTCCTCGGTTGTAGCCACCGCCAGCCTCACTTCCCACAGCCTGGCGCACTAGGAGCCCGCCGACCGGCACCGCCCCCACGTGTTACACGCCGCTTCCGCTTTCCGGTCCAGACCTCAAGGCCGCTTCCGGGAGCCTCTCGGCTTCCGTCGGGCCAAACTCCTTGATTGGCTGCACTCCGCGCCTCCCCTCCCGTCTTGCCGCTTCTTTGAGCGGAAGTTGGATCATTGAAGCGCCAAAAAAGAATTTAGGGGAACACATGATTTTCGCTTGAGGCACGATTGCGGCGCTGTACGCTACAGATACTTTCTGGAAGCTGCGGTGGGGAAACTGAGTTTCCCGAGTCGTTGAGAAAGATGGGATTCAGCACCGCGCGGGGACCACAGGAAAGCTGCGGCTGAAGAGAACCGCGGACTTGGCAGGAGCCGCCTGAGGAGCTCAGATCTCGGAGACTCTTAGTCCGGTCGTGCTTCTCTACGGGACGGGGGGAGGGAGAATCCAGCCGGACAGATCTGCGCGTATCCTGGAGCCGGCCCAGTTGTGAACTAGGAGAAGTTTGGGACCTCTGTCCCAAGCAAGTAAGAACTTAGCTTTAGGAGACGTAAATAAAGTAGTAAAGAAGCACAACTACCCAACTGTTATTTTTTACTCGTTCTCCTGTCCTACCTCTTACGTCTTTTGAATTTGTTACAATTCTCAGCGTATTGTCTCGTTTGAGAAGGGTATGGCACACAGCGTTGTTGAAGGAGCGCCTCAGCTTGGGAGCCTGAAAGAGTTTTATCTCTGTATTGTCAACAAACAACTTTGATCTTGATCGGTTTGCTTAATTTCTTTGAGCATCAGTTTCATAATGCGTAATGCCTAGTTAATTATCGGAGCCCTGTCATGCCGTTAAATCGTGAACTTCGTCGTTACTAACTTGTTTTATTAACTAAACCCCTTTTAAGTAAGGATTTGGATAGGTTATTTTATAATGAATTGCAGTGCAGTGTACAGGTATATCTTTATTGTATACTTAGGGTATGAATCATTTTTAAGTAGATTTGTATTTTAAAAGAACGATTTTGGATTTACAGAAAAATTGCACAAAAAGTGGATGTGATACTGCAGGATTGACTGTAAGAAGCTATGATGATGTATCCCTAGTGTCTCACAGGCCAGAATTATGTTCATCCTGTCCTGCCCTATAATAATAAGTCTCAAATACTGCGAATAAGTTTTCGTAGAGTTAATTACCTGTCCTATTTTCATTTCTGTGATGGGTACTTCTTGTAAACAGGTACAGTAGCTGTCCTTATTTTTAATCTATGAGCGTCTAGTATACTTAAACCATATTTAATAGTTATTAAACTATTATGGTATACCTTAAAAAGCGATAGAGATTAGAAACTTAACTTGGGTCTTGTATCACAGGTGCACAACTTTGCAAGCCTATTTGCTAGTCTTGAACCTAGAATACATTAATTTTTCCTTTTTTATTACATTAATACATTTTTAGGAGCACTTTTCCTTATAGTTTTGGTGAAGACCTTTTTAATATCTGTCTTTTAGGAGAGATGAATAGAGAGTATAGAGGCAGAGGATTTGGACGAGGAAGATTTCAAAGCTGGAAAAGAGGAAGAGGTGGTGGGAACGTCTCAGGAAAATGGAGAGAAAGAGGACACAGACCTGATCTGAGTAAAACCACAGGAAAGCATACTTCTGGTAGGTGAGGTCAATGATTGATGAATTTTTTTCACTTAATGAAGGAAGCAATTCGTGTCTATCATACAAGGCAGTTTATCTCATACTTCGGTTTGTCTTTTATTTCATGCTACTCCTTAGTAAGTATTTGAACATCGACGTCCCAGATTCTTACTCGAACCTCTAATTTAGATATTCTATTAATGAGAGTCTCATTTGGAAAGAGAAGCACATTGGAAAAATGTTGACTCTGTTTCTACCAACCTAGTATTTTATTTTTTTCAGAACAAACCCCACAGTCTTTGCTTTCAACAAAGACCCGACAGTCAATGCAGTCAACATTGGATCAGCTCATACCATATAAAGGCTGGAAGCTTTATTTCTCTGAAGGTAGGGTTAAAAAAGTGCTAAAAAGCACCATAAATCATATTTTCTTAACTTGTCTTTGGATGCTATATCTTGTATTACTATAATTCACTTACTAACATATACCTGCTTTAATCTTAGTTCACCCAAACAATTAAATGATGTTTATGTTTCAAAAGCATTTTAGACTTTGTATCAGTCAAGAAAGCAGAAACCATACGGATATTTCAAAAAGGGGACTTAATACAAGAAATTGGATACAAAAATGGAAGACTGAAAGAGTAGAAAGGAAATACTGAGGTAACCCCCCAGAAAGTAGTAACTTGAGGAAGCAGCAACCATCCTTATAGCTAAGAGAATAAAAGAAGTTCTGAGGTTACCAGAATGTGGGAATTCAAAGGTTGGAGAGGTCACAGCATAGCTGTTATTTTGACTTTTGAGGGGCACCCTACAAACCTATGCTTAGACTTCTGAAGGCTACCTTACAGAGCTGTACTCAGACCACAAGGCAAATGAAGCTGCTTGCCACTGGTAACTGAGGGGGCATGACTCAGTGGTGCTTGAAACTGGAGGCTAGCACTATCGTTATGCAGCTGCAGAGATGCTGAAAAAAATTGCAAACAATAATAAATTCCTTTCTCTCTTCCTGCCACCTTCTACACTCTAAAGTGCCTTCAACTGGCAGAATTTAAAGAGAATCTGAGACATGTAGGGTACAGATCTGAATTATAGCATCACAGAGCAGAAAGAACTGGGCTTGAAATCAAGGAACAATAACAAATAGAGCTTTGTGTAGAAACACAGGTAAGGAATCTCCCTTTGATAATTAAGAATACCAGTTAACCTACATCAGTCTGTATAGGTGCAGGGAACTGTCTTTTCTGTGCTCTTAAAATACCCATTTGTTTCTTAGGTCTCATCAGGGGTGTGTGTGTGTATACTTTTTTTTTAATCACTAGATTGTTGAGGTCCAGGACCCTCCCGTACCAGGCACTCAGTAGTCATTTTGTGAATGAATAGAATACTTTACAAGTGTTTTCTTTATTGGAAACCTGTTCGCTTTTTTCCTTCAGTAGAATCTGTTTCATGAATGATCTTTTGTTCCTTAGGATGTGTTAGTCACCGGCACTCACATTGTTCCCCTGGCAGGTAGCTCAGAACACTATAAGTGATTTTTGGACAGTCCTAAAGATGGAGTTCAAGCGGTGCCTTAGCCTTCACCATCTGTTCTTCCAAACTACTTTATTGTACTGTTCTTCTGTGAGAGACATATTTGAAAATGTAGAACTTTAAAGTGTAAAAAAAAAAAAATGCTTTTCAGTTTGGCCACCACGGTCAAGCGTTGTTGGTCTGTCTCCTGATCTCAGGAAAGACTGTGATTGTCTTCAGTTCTGTTTCAGAATAAGAGCTTAGTTTATGTGTCTGGCTTTGACTTTATTGTAATTTTTGGTTTAAGCTTATTGTCTGAATTATTTGAACTAACATGTCCTGTTAGGTGTCAAAGATGCAAAACAAAGTTTCCCAGATAGTGGGGCTTTTAGAGAGAGAAGAGTTTCTGTCTGCATTTCACATTATGCAAACCTAAATTTGTTTCAGAATCTTAAGTTTACATTCTATACCAGTTTTTATATGAATGCAATCAAAATACAAAGCAATTAGAAAAAAATCATCTACCATGTATATAGTGCTGCTTTTGTCTCATGAAAAATACGCATGTACATGTGTGATTATAGTGCTAATGCCATATTTGTTGGATTAGTTTACAGCGATAGCTCTCCTTTGATTGAGAAGATTCAAGCATTTGAAAAATTTTTCACAAGGCATATTTATTTGTATGACAAGGTAAGATTCCTCTACAGCAAAGCTGCCAGTCGTGTGCCATCTTATCAATGTATTTGAGGTACTTGTGATTATGGTCACAGGCACTGGAGTCAGACTGCGTTGGTTCAGACCTCAGTTCTGCCACTTACCGGCAGTATGGACTTTGATTAAATCAATTACTTCTCTGTGCCTCGGTTTTCTTTCATTTGGAGATAGAGGTATAGATACCTACCTTAAAGGATTGTTGAGAGGCATCAATATATTAATATATTTGAAATATCAGAACCATGCTTGGCACAAAGCTTATACTTATGTGATACTTACCATTATCACATATAAACATTGTATGCTTTCTCAAAGTGTATAACAGAATGCTCGGTTAATGGTAATTGACTACAGAAAAGCAATTATTGTTTTCATACTTTCTATTTTATAGGATGAAATAGAAAGAAAGGGAAGTATTTTGGTGGATTTTAAAGAACTGATAAAAGATGATGAAGTAACTAACTTGATACCAGATACAGCAAATGAACTAAGAGATGCACCTGAGAAAACTTTGGCTTGCATGGGTTTGGCAATACATCAGGTAACTATATGTCTTATGCATACTTTTGTCTAAACTTTTTTAACGTTTGCACACACATGCACACCTTGTCTAAGTTTAAAGGAAGATTTTACAGTGACTGTACCTTCTATAAGAGATACTTAGCTTTTACGAAAAGATGTTGGCTAGAATTGAGAGGTTGCAATTCCATTCTGAAAGATACCATTCATTCTATATACAACAGCTTATGTAATGAAATATTTACTTCTGACTCATTTGGATTTGCTTAATCTTGCTAAAGATTGTGCAGAAATTAAACCTTCCTTTCAAGAAGTTATACAGTCTCATAGGGAAGATAAGACAAGGAATCATGGTGTTATCAGTTATGAACTTAGAGCAAAAAAGAGCAACCTTAGATTTAGGTTCTGTGGCATGAGGCAAACCACTGAGTGTCCCTGTATGTCAAATGTGAATAACAATTTGTACTGTGCCTGCCTGAGTTTTTTTCAGGGTCAGGTAATACAACATATATGAAAACATTTTAAATTTTTAAAATTTATTTTTTATTTATTTTTTTGAGGTGGAGTCTCACTCTGTTGCCAGGCTGGAGTGCAGTGGCACGATCTCGGCTCACTGCAACCTCTGCCTCCTGGGTTCAAGTGATTCTCTTGCCTCAGCCTCCCAAGTAGCTGGGACTACAGGTGTGCACCACCATGCCCAGCTAAGTTTTGGATTTTTAGTAGAGATGGGGTTTCACCATGTTGGCCGGGGATGGTCTCGATCTCTTGACCTTGTGATCCACCCGCCTCGGCCTCCCAGAGTGCTAGGATTACAGGCATGAGCCACCGTGCCCGGCCAAAAACATTTTTGAGGCTAGCAAGCAGATAAATGCTTCAAGGTAATGTGTAGTAAATCTCAGGACAGGCATACACAAAGTGCTGGGGCATTCAGAGGGGCATTCTCCTACCTCTTACATGTGCTATTCATTCAACGTGGAATCCCCTTCCCCTCACATAGACAGATTATTTGGGCCTAGCTCAGTTGTCTCTCTGTAAAACCTTTCTCGTGACAACTTTTCAAAACTTGCATGGTATTTTGTCTGTACATCTTTATAGTCCTTATAACAATTAACAGCTATATATATGCATCTTATTTTGCCTCTTAGGTGGTCAGCAAACTGCGGTACACAAGTGGTATTTGTTTATTTATTTTGAAATGGAGTTTTGCTCTTGTTGCCCAGGCTGGAGTGCAATGGTGTCATCTTGGCTCACTGCAACCTCTGCCTCCTGGGTTTAAGCGAGTCTCCTGCCTCAGCCTCCCAAGTAGCTGGGATTATAGGCATACACCACCACGCTCAGCTGATTTTTGTATTTTTAGTAGAGATGGGGTTTCACCATGTTGGTCGGGCTGGTCTCAAACTCCTGACCTCAGGTGATCCACCCACTTCGGCTTCCCAAAGTGCTGGGGTAACAGGTGTGAGCCATCGTGCCCAGCCTGTTTATATTATTTAATGTTAAATGCCAAGGGAGTGAGTATTAGATATTTTAAAGGTCATTTTTATTTTCTCTGTCTTGCCTGATCAGTGAATATAGAGAAATAGGAATGCATTTTTTTTTTTTTTTTAATTAGAATCGAGGTGATGGTTTTGGGGACTGCTATAAGGGCTTTTAATGCTAGGTTTAGTTGGGACAGAAAGTAGCAGACTGGGATGCTGGAGTTTTTCAGTCCAGGGACAGCAAAATCCAAAGTAAAACATCCACTATAAAGTAAGTAGTCATAATTAAATATTAGATTTTTAAAGGGCTGTTAAAGTTTTCTGTTTTTATTCTGTTTCTGTCCATAAACTTTATATTCTCTATAAAAATAGAGTTCTGTATAAAGAGGATATTTTGTTTTCCAACTTCAGAGTAAATGTCTGTCCTGTGTAGGTATTAACTAAGGACCTTGAAAGGCATGCAGCTGAGTTACAAGCCCAGGAAGGATTGTCTAGTGATGGAGAAACAATGGTAAATGTGCCACATATTCATGCAAGGTGAGGAATTTGATGTATTAAAGTATTACTTAGAATGGGACATTGAAGGCCATTTAAGAATGAGAATCCTCATTTTATAAGAACAGGGAAATCGGTAAAAAGGGCATGAGTTCCTTGCCATCTCTCTGATCATCACACTGAAGTAAACTCATTGAAAATTATTCAAAGACATCATGACAGATACTTCCTAAATAAGGACGAAAATGTTGATTTTCTAACCTGCAAATTTTTGTAAACATTGATTTTGGATGTGAACTTATCAAGACCCTGCTGTGTAAGTTTAATAATCCATGTATGGGTTGAGTATTCCTAATCTGAAAATCTGAAATCTGAAATGCTCCAAAATTCAAAACTTTGAGCCCTGACACGACACTGAAAGGAAATGTTCACTGGGGCATTTCAGATTTTTGAATTAGGGATACTCAACTAGTAATATTGCAAATATTTGAAAGTCCAAAAAATCCAAAATACTTCTGGTCCCACACATTTTGGATAAGAGATATACTCAGTCTGTAATATACAAAGTGGTGTGTATTTTGTTCAATTATTAGGTTTCTGTTAGATACAAGGGAATAAATGAAATTATTTTGTTTTTCTTGAATTCATCCTTAGGATTTTAAATTCATTAGAAGAATTCATTATAAGGTAATCATCGGAGTTTTGTTTTTCTTTTCCAGAATTTATAGAAGGCAATCTCCTAGCAGTTCTTTAAAAAGAACTTAGAAACCCAAAGGTTTTTGAATCTGTAGATTTTCCTTTTGGCATTATTTTTTTCCTTAAAATTTTTTTTTCTTTTTTCCTTGAGAGCAGCCTGTGAGATGAGAAGAAAAAGAAAGATTTAGTGTTGTGTCTTTCTAAGAATGGTTTGGCTGGGCATGGTGGCTCACGCCTATAATCCCAGCACTGGGAGTCCGAGGCAGGCAGATCACTAGGTCAAGAGATTGAGGCCATCTTGGCCAACATAGTGAAACCCCATCTCTACTAAAAATACGAAAATTAGCTGGGTGTGGTGGCACGCAACTGTAGTCACAGCTAATCAAGAGACTGAGGCAGGAGAATCGCTTGAACCCGGGAGGCAGAGGTTGCAGTGAGCCGAGGTCGCACCACTGCGCTCCACCCTGGTGACAGAGCGAGACTCTGTCTCGAGAAAACAAAACAAGAATGGTTTAGTTCTTGTGAGACTTCTGATATATCAAAAGGATGATTTGGTTTAAGAATTCCATAGTTGCTCCTAAAAGGAACTTGTGAAAATATAAAAAACATTAAGTTTCTGTTCGTTACTTCCTGTTTTGTCTTTAGGGTGTACAACTATGAGCCTTTGACACAGCTCAAGAATGTCCGAGCAAATTACTATGGAAAATACATTGCTCTAAGAGGGACAGTGGTTCGTGTCAGTAATATAAAGCCTCTTTGCACCAAGATGGCTTTTCTTTGTGCTGCATGTGGAGAAGTTCAGAGTTTTCCTCTTCCAGATGGAAAATACAGTCTTCCCACAAAGGTAGTATGTTCTTGAACTGCTTCTTTATTTATCTTGGTAAAGAAGGCAAATCAGAATACAGAAAATGTTTCCCAATGTTCCTGAACACAGAGCTTATTTTTATTTTTGATTTTTGATTTTCTGCTTTTATATTATGAAATACTTCAGGGTAAGAAAAATATAGAAATAAATAAAACATTCCACTACTCATCACCCCAAATTTACATTTTTCAGCTCCACATACATTTTTTAATGATATAAAGCATTACTGGCACAATTAGTGTCTGTTTTTTACCCTTTACCTGTACCATTCCCAGGGATGATCATTATCCTGAAGTTATTATAATATGCATCCCTTCTATTCATATTTCTGTTGACTTCTAGATATACACAGCAAGTTTTTTTTTTCCCCTTCATTTCTTCTACTATTTAGAAGTGATGGGTTTTTTTAATTAGCCTTTATTAAACTAGATTTTAAAACTATGGAAAAGTACAGAAAATAATGTAATTAACATTTATCTACTCTATGAGTTGGCAAATATTAATATTTTGTTACTTTAGTTTAATTTGTAACAAAAATATGGTTATATAAAGTTGAAGTCTCTCTGTTCTCCTCAGTTTTATTCCCTTTATTTGTTCCCCAGATGCAACCACTATTCTGAAATTGGCATGTGTTCTTCAAGTTTACATTTTTATTCTTGACTATGTACGTAGCGTTAGTTTTTTGTATTGTGTTTACGTAAATGGTATACTGAATATAACATGCAGCTCTTTTTTACTTGGTTATTTTGAAGTTCTACCTATTTTAATACATATCGAATTCTTTCATTTTTACTGTTGTGGAGTGTTGCTTTAAATAAATAGCCACTATTCATCCATTTTCCTGGAGGTAGACAATTTGCTCTTTCCAGTTTTTTATAATTACAAATGATACTACAGAGAACATTCTTGTATATGTCTCCTTAGCGGAGGAACACTAAGTTGTAGCCTGCACTTTTTTTTTTTTTTTTTTTGAGACGGAGTCTTGCTCTGTTGCCTGGGCTGGAATGCAGTGGTGCAATCTTGGCTCACCGCAACCTCCGCCTCCCGGATTCAAGCAATTCTACCTCAGCCTCACAAGTAGCTGGGACTACAGGCACGCACCACAATGCCTGGCTAATTTTTGTATTTTTAGTAGAGACGGGGTTTCACTATGTTGACCACGCTGGTCTCAAACTTCTGACCTCGTGATCCGCCTGCCTCAGCCTCCCAAAGTGCTGAGATTGGCCGGCTGTACTTATTTTTAACTGTATTAGGTGTTACCAAATTACTTTCCAGAGTATTGTTCCCAGCTTAAATCCCTGCTGGTAGGGTTAAGCAGTTACCGTTTCTCCATATTTTCAGTAACACTTGGTATTGTTAGACTTGTACATTTTTGACAGTTTGGTAGGTGTAAATAATACTGCATTTATAATGTGAATTTTTCTGATTTCTGTTGTGGTTGAGCATCTTTTCATATCTTTACTGGCCGTTCAGTTTCTTTCTTTATTGAATTTTCTATTTATATCTCATGTTCATTTTCCTGTTTATTGGTTTATTCTTTCATTTTGTTTTTTAGAGATCAGTTCTCATTCTGTTGCCCAGGCTGGAGTGTAGTGACATGATCATAGCTCATTGCAACCTTGAACTCCTGGGCTCAAGTGATCCTCCCATCTCAACTTCCCAAGTAGTTGAGACTACAGGTGCCAGCCACTGTGCCTCGTTCTATTAGTTTATTGATAGGAGTTCTTTATACATTCTAGATACTAATTATTGTTGATTATGTACATTAGATATTTTCTGCCTGTCTTTGGTTTGGCTTTTAACTTTGTGGGTTTTTTTGTTGTACAGTTTTACATTTTGACATGATCTAATTGTTATCTTTTCCTCTGTAACTTGTACACTTTATGCCCTGCTTAAGAAGCCATTCTTCAGCTGGGCGTGGTGGCTCATGCTTGTAATCTCAGCACTTTGGGAGGCCGAGGCGGGCGGATCACCTGAGGTCGGGAGTTTGAGACCAGCCTGACTAACATGGAGAAACCCTATCTCTACTAAAAATACAAAATTAGCCAGGCGTGGTGGCGCGTGTCTGTAATCCCAGCTACTCGGGAGGCTGAGGCAGGAGACTCGCTTGAACCCGGGAGGTGGAGGTTGCAGTGAGCCGAGATCGCACCATTGCACTCCAGCATGGGCAACAAGGGCGAAACTCCGCCTCAAAAAAAATAAATAAATAAATAAATAAATAAGCCCTTTTCACTCAAGCATTATAAACATATTTCCTACATTTGCTTCTAATAATCCTAAGTTTTGTTATCTTTAGATCTTTTGTCCATCTGGAATTTAAGGCATTGGTGAATGGCATAAAACTAGGAATTTAAGCTGGGCATGGGGGCATGTGCCTGTAGTCCCAACTACTCAGTAGTCTGAGGCAGGAGGATCGCTTGAGCCCTAGAGTTTGAGACTAGCCTGTGCAGCATAGTGAGACCCCCATCGCTTAAAAAAACAAACTAGTGATCTAATTTTTAGGTGAAAAGCTATTTGTCCTGACACCATTTATTAATTAAGCCCTCATTACCATGAATGTATAATGTTTTCTCGGTGGTAGGGTCATCTTTATCACCATTGGGCTTTCATAAATTTAACATTTGCTAAATTTTTGCTCATGTAAAGGGTTGAATCCTTAGTGAGGTAAATAATCCCTTGAAGAATTAAAAAGGGAAATGTAAGATGTTTGAAATTCCTAAGGCTTCTTTCTCTTACTGGAAGAAGAGGGTATGTGAGATTCAGCTATTGGTTCTGAATAATCAGTGGTGTTGACAGATGGGTTTCATCTGGTGTTTGTCTTGGCTTAAGGTTCAAGGTACAGCCTTGAGCTCAGAGGCCAGAATTTAAATCCTGATTTAAACCAGATATTTTCTTCCTTTTATTTTGAAGATGGTCTGTCACTCTGTCACCCAGGCTGGAGTGCAGTGACATGAATACAGCCCACTGCAGCCTCGACCTCCTTAAATCAGATATTTTCTAGACAGCATTTGTACAGGGGTATTTTCATGCCCTCTAATAAAGTAGGTAGTAGCATTGACTCATGAGTGATGTCGTGATGAGGTCCTTCATTTGTCTGAACTGTAGGGATTTGAAGTGACAGAAAGATGGCTGTTTCAGTTGATCTCTATTCCAGCCACTATTGCTGTATAACACATCACCCCAAAACTCAGTGGCTGAAAATAAAGCCAGTCATTTTATTCTTATGATTCCTGTGGGTCAGGAGTTTGGAAGAACTACTCAACTGGCTAGTTCTAGCTCCAGGCCTCTCATGGAGTTGTAGTCAGATTGTGGCTGGAGTACAGCAAGGTGGCTGGGGACTGGCCAGGCATCCTCTTCTCCATGTGGTTGTGTGGGCTAGTTTGGGCTTCTTGCACACAGTATAGCAGCTCAGGGTGCTCAGTCTGCTTATGTGGCTGCTGACAGCTTCAAGGCAAGAAGTCCAGTTGGTAGGCAGAAATGGCCTTGCCTTTTGTGAGCTAATCTCAGAAGTTGTACAACATCACTCTGTCACATTCTGTTGGTTACAAAGTGAGTCACAAACCTCAAATTCCAGGAGAAGGAATTAGCTTCCTTTTCTTAATGGAGGAGTAGCAAGTTTCTAAAAAGGTTGAAGAGAAATATTGTTGCAATCATATTTGGCAAATACAGTCTGCCACAGTCTGAATTTATAAATGCGTCTTGAGATCCAAACACCAAACAAGTGCCTGTGTGGTGTAATAAGTATTACACTATACAGAAAGTGCAAAAGGGGCCTAGATGAGAAAGCTGGGGATTAAAGAAAACTCTGGAAAGCCTTTTGAAAAGGAGAGGATTGGCACTGGGCATGTGGGACAGAATGAGAGGGGGCGTTCAAGGAGCGAGAGGTGGCACGAGCACAGAGGAGCAGTAAGTGCTTCCTGTGGGAGGCAAGGAAAGCACCTTGCATACCCATAGCAGGATAAGAACAGTAAGTGAGAAGGATCAGTTGGAAAGTGCCTCAAAAGCTCTTGATATTAAATTGTTGCAGGAGAAAATAGTCCTTGGATTTTGCTTTACTAGCATCGTGAGACCAACTTTTAAAACAATGTTAAATGAAATGTTTTAACTGAATTTTCCTGAGGTGTGATTATAGTTTATCAAAATCTGAATGTGAATTACTTTTGTTTCATTCAGTGTCCTGTGCCTGCATGTCGAGGCAGGTCATTTACTGCTCTCCGCAGCTCTCCTCTCACAGTTACAATGGACTGGCAGTCAATCAAGTAAGCAATCTGTTATATAAAAGGCAGGCTTTAGATGTCACACTGTTGAGTAAATCCTTAATTTTGCTGTATTATATTGTACGTTTTATCTAAACAATGACAGTGTATAATAGTGTATAGTAGACGGTTTATTTGATGAAGAGTTTGTATGTTAAAATAATTGTCTTTTTTAAGAAGGAGTCTTGCCCTGTTACCCAGGCTGCAGTGCAGTGGCACGATCTTGGCTCACTGCAAGCTCCACCTCCCGGGTTCACACCGTTCTCCTGCCTCAGCCTCCCGAGTAGCTGGGACTACAGGCGCCCGCCACCACACTTGGCTAATTTTTTTGTGTTTTTAGTAGAGATTTAGTTTAGAGGTTTCACCGTGTTAGCCACGATGATCTTGATCTCCTGACCTTGTGATCCGTCTGCTTCAGCCTCCCAAAGTGCTGGGATTACAGGCATGAGCCACCACTCCTGGCTGAAATAATTGTCTTTATTTGAAATTTATTGTCTGTCAGATTCCAGAAAGGATTCATTATGCAAATATTGTGTCCTACTGAGAAATAGTTGATTATATATCTCAATTATGTGATTAATTGAACTGGATATAGGCCATAAGCAAAGTTGTATGATTCATTCCATAATAAGCTGTGATAGAAATAATATTGTTTTGAAGTTTTCAGATAAAGACTTCCTTTGAAATGTTATGTTTCATTTTATGTTCTCAGTGTTGCAGTGGGGCATTTTACTATAGGTTTTTTTTAATAGCTTTTTTTATTTTTGCAAGTCAGAGTTTTCTTTGCGTATGTATTTTTCATCCCATAATTGATTCCGTTTTTTCTAGCTGTAGACCTATAGCTCATCTCTAAATATAAAATAACGAATGGTTTTGAAGTCAGTGCTCTCTAGGAAACCTGGCTGAAATGAGATGGTCCTAAAAACTAAGAACCTAGGGAAAAGATAAGATGGTCTGCTACTAACTGCTTCACCCTCTTCTTCTCTGAAAAATTAAGACCAACATGTGTAATAATTGTACCATAGTGAGATCTTTACAAACACCCCGTTTTATAAGAGGAAATGTTTAAGACTCTTAAGTATGATCGTGTAGCCTATGAGTATAGTAAAGCCTGATTTCCAACCCAGTCTGTGGGACTTTTACCACTTAAGAGGGACAAAGGGTTAGTCTGGAGGTAGTGAGTTATTTCCATTGATTATTCAGAGTCACTTACAGATCAAACTCCTTGTTCTACTCTTTCCTTCCTTCTCACTACTGCACGTGACTTATCTTTAAAAAGTGGGTCTGGGGGGGTGAATTGATGGTGAAGTGGTGAGTGAACTTGGAGCAGGGTTTGAAGTCGTGCAGGTTAGGTGGATGCCAGCACCTGGCCCATGACCTGAAAAACATTGAGAGGTAATCTAGATGTATGATGAATGTATTCCAAAGTTATTATTTTAATGTTCAATGATTGTACTTACATTAATTATTAAGTAAAAAATGCTTTAATGTAATAACATGTACATGTTTTTAAAAATTCAATCAGTGTGGAAAGGCACAGTCCCCACAACTTGCTGTTACATTATACGTAACTTTAGATACCATTCTTGCGTGTCTTTCATCCTTCGCTTTACTGCATTCATTCTATGTGAGCTGAGGACTTTAGAAACATATTTGTTCTTTTATCTTCCACTTCTAGACTTTCTCAGTTTCGATATTACTTTAAATTGTCAACGTTTACCTTTTGTCTTCTAATTGTCTTCCAGAGTTTATTTATAGGTCATGTCTAACAACAACAATAAAGCAGACATTTGCATTTTTATGTTAATAAAAATGCCTGATATGGCATTCCCACAGATAAATAATATGAGCTTCTGACTTCTCCCACTATCTTTTCTACTCCTACTTGCGTCCTCAGTAGTCGAAGCTGGTGCTGCATCTGGCTGTACAGTTAACCCTTTAGCAAGAAACCTAGCACATGCAGAAGTGTCTGTGGATCTGACCATCTTCACGCTCCACTTGGCAGGTGTCTCTTCCATTTTAGGGGCCAATAACTTTATTACCACAATAATTAACATAAAACCTCCAGCTTTGTCCCAATACTGAACACCCCTTTTCGTCTGATAAGTCCCTCATTATGGCGGTCCTTCTACTCCTTTCCCTTGCCATTTTATTAACATAAAAAATGTAAATACAACTCAACAAAGAACCAAATGAAGTGATCAAATGCCAAGCAAAGGAGATGTAATTTATGTCCCTGGGTTTTGTAGTTTTGTTTTGTTGGTTTTTACCCCTTAAATGAAAATAACCCAAGCATCAAATTATCTTTTCTTATACTCTGCTAGTTATTTGGAATTATCCCACATTTTAGTGTGCATCATATTTGGACTGTAACTTTGCTGTTTAGTACTTTATTTTTCCTAAGGTCTCTGAGTGCTGGTTTTACTTCTTAGAGTATGCCTCTGCCATTTCATCATAATTTTCCATTCTCTCTTAAATATACTATGGAATACATGGAATCCACCTTTTATTCTTAAAAAACAAAAACAAAAAAACACACCTTCCTTCTGCTTGAGTCTGGATCAGTAGTTCTCCAGACCTGCATTCCTGCTTCATCCTGGGATGTTGCTTCATTGCACATTTTGTTTTTCTAAGGAGTATTCTCAGTAAATTTTCAGAAAGTATACATGACAGGTAAAAAATTCTAAGCCCTTGCATGTCTGAAAATGTCTTTATTTGGATCTTAGTCTGGCTAAGAGTTTGCCAGCTATCGAAGTCTATTTGGTTTTAATTTTCTCTGCTGTTTATGAGAGGTCTGGTGCTGGTCTGATTCTCATTCCTTTGAGGACTGGACTTTTCCTCCTCTTTGTAACCATTTTATCTGTCGTGCTCTGAAACAGTGAAAGTGTATCTAGTTGTCTCTATCCTGCTTGATTGGCAAGGTCTTTTGTCTTCAACTCTAGAATATCTGACTGTTTTCTCAGCTTCCTATCAGAGGCAGTCCTTGGATTATTCATCTGTTTTAAATTGTTCCTCATTCTTTCATTTTCTTTGTGCTGTTTTCTAGATTTCTTTGGCTTTTTCTTATATCTTCTCTACAAATGTTTGATTTTTATATACATACTTTAAATTTTCTTGATTTCGTACTTGTATTCCCATAGTTCCCTTTTTATAGCGGCTTATTCCTGTTTTATGATGGCAATATTTTCTCAAAACTCTTAGGCAGTTTTTTGTTTTTAATGCTCCTGAATTATTGCCATTTCGTTTTCAAATATCTGATGAGGAATGAGAAAGTATTTGAAGTAGGTAGGATAGGTTTCCTTTGCAATTTTTGAGGTAGTAGTTTTTTCTCACAAGACTTCACCTCTGAATACAAAGATAGGGGTTTGGGCTGTCAGATTTTGCTTTATGAATGTGTTTTTGAATTGGAATTGGGTTTCTCAAATGGTAGAATGAAGAGTCTTTGTTCTGAAGCTCTGATATTCTCACTGCACACTTTAGCTCCCTTCACAGAGGAGATGGGTTTGTTTCCTTAGAACAGTGCTCTGGTTTTTGCCAGATGATAAAGTACTCATTCTTCCCCTACCCACTGTCCACTCACCTTTTCCAAAAATTCTCAACAACTATTGTCTTTCAATTGATAACCCTATTTTCTTCTAGCCATCCACTCCTGCTCTCCATTCCTGCCACATCCAACTTGGAAGCTCCTCTGGGGCTCTGCTAAGAACATTGGGTCCCACTTTTCTTGTACACTTGTAGCTTTTGCCTATGTGTATTCGGACTTCATTTTGTTTTATCCGTCAATACTTTACCATTTGCTGTTTTCAAAAATTTCATTAATATCTCATTTTCTGATGATACCTCTACATACCCCCAAATTTTTAGTGACTCATTTTGATGGACATTTTAGAGGGAGGCTAGGCAAATACATACACTCATTCTGCTATCTTGAATTAGAAACTGCTGAAGTAATTTTAGATATACCATTAAACTGTTAATAAACAAATCTGCCTTTATCTTGCTCAGCATCATGTGAACTCTGAATAGTTAATGTCTTGCAGAAACCATCCAAAGTAAGTATTCTAACTGAAAACCATTTAAACTTTTTAGAATTCAGGAGTTGATGTCTGATGATCAGAGAGAAGCAGGTCGGATTCCACGAACAATAGAATGTGAGCTTGTTCACGATCTTGTGGATAGCTGTGTCCCGGGAGACACAGTGACTGTTACTGGAATTGTCAAAGTCTCAAATGCAGAAGAAGGTATGGTACAACTCTTTTCATTATTTGTCTCTCAATAATGATTTGTCAACATTCATCTTTTCTAAGATGCTCCTGAATCTCAAATAATTTGAGGAATTTCTTGTTGCTTACATAAGATGAAACATTCTCTTTAAAAAAAAATTTATTTGTAGCTCACTATGACTTTGTTTTATATTCTAGTTGAGTCATTGTAGAGAAAATGAAAATACCAACTATTGTATTTAAAACTTTTAATTTACAGGTTCTCGAAATAAGAATGACAAGTGTATGTTCCTTTTGTACATTGAAGCAAATTCTATTAGTAATAGCAAAGGACAGAAAACAAAGAGTTCTGAGGATGGGTGTAAGCATGGAATGTTGATGGAGTTCTCACTTAAAGACCTTTATGCCATCCAAGAGATTCAAGCTGAAGAAAACCTGTTTAAACTCATTGTCAAGTATGTACGCTGTCATTTGAAATTTTACTACATACATGCATGTTAGGGGTTCTCTTGGCTACAGGTAACAAAAACTAGTCAAAATGGTTGGCAAACTACAGTCTATGTACCAAATCCAGTGCACCATCCACTTGAGTGTGGCCTATGAACTAAGAATGGTTTTTATATTTTTTAATGGTTGAAAAAATTTAAAAGAATATTTCACAACACATGAACTTATATGAAATTCAGATTTCATCCGAATGTGGTGGCTCATACCTGTAATCTCAGCACTTTGGGAGGCCGAGGTGGGCGGATCACTTGAGGCCAGGAGTTTGAGACCAGCCTGACCAACATGGTGAAACCCTGTCTTTACTAAAAATACAAAAATTGGCCGGGCATGGTGGCAGGCGCCTGTAATCCCAGCTACTTGAGAGGCTGAAGCAGGAGAATCACTTAAACCTGGGAGATGGAGATTGCAGTGAGCCAAGATCGCACCATTGCACTTCAGCCTGGGCAACAAGAGTGAAACTCTGTCTTTAAAAAAAAAGGAAAATCAGATTTCAGTGTCCATAAATAAAGTTTTATTGGAACACAGCCACACTCATTCATTTACATTGTGTGCTGCTTTTGTGCTGCAGTGGCAGAGTTGAGTAGTTGTGACAAAGAACATATACATGGCTCACATATTTTTGCATTGTCCTTTTATAGAAAAAGTTTGCTGATCTCTAGTTTAAACAATACGTAGTATTTACTATCTTACACAAGAAGTTTGTTGCTCAACAGAAAAGTGAGGTGACAGTGACTTCCAAAGCCACTTCAATTAGTTCTGTGTAGGGTGGTGTTCATAGGGATTCAAATAGAAGTAATATATATTCAATAAATATTTGATAATTTTATTTCCATGCTATTGCCATGCCGTGGAGAAGAAGCAAAGTATAGGCATTTTTTGCTTTAGTGGTTAAGAGCTTTTCTTTGGAGACAAACCTAAATTAGACTCCTGCTTTGGGCATTTACTTCCAGTGTGATCTGGGATACATTACTTAATTTCCCCTTTATTTGTATCACCTTAAAATGGAAATAGTAAGACTTACCTCGGAAGGTTGTTCTAAAGATTAAGTGGGATATTATAATGTACTTAATTACTGCAACATACTGTTACTTTTGATAATTTTTTGACAATTATGGGGTAATTTTGAAGAAATAGGAGAAAATGAGAGAGACTGAATAATAGATATATCTAAGAGAGGTGAAAAACTGAGAATGTTTTGAAATACATTGTATTATAAAAAGTGATCTTAGCCAGGCACGGTGGCTCACGCCTGTATTCCCAGCACTTCAGTAGGCTGAGGCGGGTGGATCACCTGAGGTCAGGAGTTTGAGACCAACCAGACCAATATGGTGAAACCCTGTCTCTACTGAAAATGGAAAAATTAGCTGGGCATGATGGCGGGCACCTGTAATCCTAGCTTCTTGGGAGGCTGAGACAGGAGAATCTCTTGAACCTGAGAGGTGGAGGTCGCAGTGATCTGAGATCGTGCCACTGCACTCCAGCCTAGTGACAGAGCAAGACTCTGTCTCATAAGATAAAATAAAATTTAAAAATAGTGATTTTGTCATGCTTTGCTGTTCAGTAGGCTCAGGTCTGTAAGAGGAGTTGATGCTTTTTCTTTCTGGCTTTAATATGTTAATTAGCCGACTGAGTAAAGAATAGTGCTCCACAGGGGCTTTTTGTCCCTAAATCCTACTTCCCTCTGAATAAATAGCCATCCAGACCCACCCTGGAAGAGAGGCTGCTCTAATCTAGGGTTGCTGGGGTAGTCTGGGAATGAGTCCTTTGAGCAGGTGGCCAAGGAAGCAACCTGGTTGAGAATCCAAACATCTTTGGTTCCTCTTAATGGTTATAAATTAAATTAAAACTGAACATTTTTAGTGGTCCCTCTTCTCCCATATTTATAGAAAAGTATGGAAAACTTTAGTTTTCTTCCCACAGTTTGCTTCCCCCTCCTCCATGTTTGTGATTTCAGCATCGAAACTAGAATTTTTCATGGTCCTCCATTATCAGTCTAGCAGAGATTGGCAAACTAGGCAGGCTGCCTGTTTTTGTAAGTCAAGTTTTATTAAAATACAGCCCCACCCTGTTTACTTACCTTACTGTTCATAGTTGCTTGCAGGTTTACAAGTTGAGTAGTTGTGACTGAGACAGTATAGCCTGCGAAGCTGAAAATACTTACTTCCTGGCCCTTTAAGAAAAAGTTTGTCAACCCAGCCTAGGTGACAGTGGAAGTTTATGTTTTAGTTTAGATTCCTTCAGAAGCAATGATTTGGGTCAACATAGTTTACTTGGGAGGTGATTCTGGAGTTACTGGTAGGGAAATGGGGAAGTGATTGCAGCTAGTGTAGGTGCCTTAACGAACAGGTGACCCACTAGCATCTGGGACATAATCCTCCTGGGCCAGTGGAACACTCCACTGTGGAAAGCCAGCCTCAATATTTTTCCATTGAAGGGCCTACATTTGGAACTGCCCCCAGGAGTATTAAACACCTCAGCACTTCTGGCCTGTCCATCCTGCCTGCTGATGATGCTTGTGTGGCCATAGAAAGGTCTTTGGCAGACAGGTGCAGGTGCCAGTAGGAAGTCGGAACATACTGAACAGTGAGTGCCAAGGGGATACGAGCACACTACCACTTCCTTCTGTGTTTACATATATTAAAAGGGAATAAAGACTCACATTTTACTCCTGGTTTTCTCTCCCACCCTATTTTTGTTTGTTCCTTGTTTATAAATTGACAAATATAAATGTACTGCTTTATACTCTTTTTCTTTTTTAAATTTTTTTTTAGAGACAGGGTCTTGCTGTGTTGCCTAGGCTGGATTGCAGTAGCACAATCATAGCTCACTGTAGCTTCAAACTCCTGGCCTCAAGTTATTCTCCCACCTCAGCCTCACAAGTAGCTGGGACTAAAGGTGTGTGCCACCACGCCTGGCTAATTTTTAATTTTTTTTTGTAGATGTTGGGGTCTCACTTTGTTGCACAGGCTAGTTTTGCACTTTTGGACTGAAGCAGTCCTCCCACCTTGGCCTCCCAGAGTGCATGCTGGGATTACAGGCATGAACCTGTAAACCAAAAATAAAATTCTAAGGCTCCCCCACCCATTTCAACAGACTTCCTCCTCAGCCAGGGCTTTCAAGATATAACCTGAAAGACTGATTCAGACCAGGAAGGGAAGTGGGGGTCAGACATGCCTTATACCTCTCTGGCATTAACATCAACACAGATTTTAAGTCTGATAAGAAACATTTTACAGCCTGTTCTCTCTCAAACCTGCTAGCTAAAAGCTTCATCTGCATGATAAAACTTTGGTCTCTACAACCTCTTGCAACCCAAACATTCCTTTCTGTTGATCCCAGGTCTTTAGACAAACTCAACCAATTGTCAACCAGAAAATGTTTAGATTTACCTGTAGCCTGGAGGCCCATGCTTTGAGTTATCCCACCTGTCTGAACTTTCTGGTTCTACAAATCACTGCACCCCGCCTCATTTTCTTATTTAATTTGACCTTTTGACTTGAACTGAAAAAAAGGAAATTTTACCGCATCTTACACTATTATATACTGAGTTCACTTCTTAGTCTCCTGTCAATGTCTTGGCTTCACAGTCTCAAGATGTCTATTCACATAAAATACAATATAATCCTGTATCCTAAAATGGAAGACCATGATTGTGATGCATTTTAAGGCCAGTTGTACAAGAAGAGCAACATTGTATTTGGTTACTTTAAGATGCTTTGCAAGTATCCTCTTTTCCTTATCCAGGCAGAGTTTTTTTAAAACATTCTAACCTTTATAGATTAACCAAGAATTTTGAGAAATTTACCATAAGAATAAAATTTGAGTTGAGGGGATGTAAATTTTTTACATTTGTCTTTGTTGATATTAAGCAAGTTAAACAAATTGTAAAGGAGATCTAATGGATCAATGAAGTATAAATTAGAATTTATAAGTTGTGTTCTATTTTTCAGCTCGCTTTGCCCTGTCATTTTTGGTCATGAAGTAAGTATTTTACTTCGTCTTTACTCAAAAAGTATACAAAGTTAGCAAAAATAACATATAAAGACTTTCCAGAAAGTAGCAAATTTCTATTGGCCAGTTATTTATATTTTAACATGAATCTTTATTTGTAAACTAATAATATGGGAGGCAAGCAAACTATAGCTCCTTTATTTTTATTTTTTTATTTTTTGAGACAGGGTTTCGCTTTGTGACCCAGGCTAGAGTGTGATGGCGCAGTCGTAGCTCACTGTAGCCTCGAGCTTTGGGGCTCAGGTCATCCTCCTGACCTCAGCCTCCTTAGTAGCTGGGACTACAGGCGTCCTCCACCATGTGCAGCTACTTTTTTTGTATTTTTTGTAGAGATGGGGTTTTGCCACGTTGCCCAGGCTGGTCTCTTAAGTCCTGGCCTCAAATGATCCACCCAATTTAGCCTCCAAAGTACTGGGATTATAGGTGTCAGCCGTATAGCTCCTTTTAAGAAAAAACTTTTACCAACTAGAGTAAATATAAATGGACTTTTATTTTATTTATTTATTTATTTTGAGACGGAGTCTTGCTCTGTTGCCCAGGCTGGAGTGCAGTGGTGCGATCTCGGCTCACTGCAACTTCCATCTCCCAAGTTCAAACAGTTCTCCCACCTCAGCCTGCCGAGTAGCTGAGACTACAGGCACGTGCCACCACACCCAGCTACTTTTGGTAAGAAATGGGCTTTTAAAGTGACTAGACACTGCCAGTATTAAAGCAGAAAAAAAAATATTTCTCGTTTTTGTGGAATGGATTTATGCCTTGCAAGGTAGGTCTTAGTAATTTCTAAGATACCTCTCTGATTTTGTATGCTTTCAAGTTTTTACTTTTTAATCATTTACATGATAGAAGTTTGTTTTTAGACTTCCTTTTCTTAGAAAAAAATTAACATTCTATCAGGCAATTAAAGCAATCCCCAAACAAATCAATGTTATAGAAGGAGGGGAGTACCCTCTTTACTAGCCATCTTTATGTTTTCTTTACTTTTGTTTTTTGTTCTTTTTTTCCCGCACTTGAGCTTGTTAAAGCAGGTTTGGCATTAGCACTCTTTGGAGGAAGCCAGAAATTTGCAGATGACAAAAACAGAATTCCAATTCGAGGAGACCCACACATCCTTGTTGTTGGAGATCCAGGCCTAGGAAAAAGTCAGATGCTACAGGTAGAAAATCAGTCATTTAGTGTTTGTTCTTTTGCTTGTAAAATGCATTAATAATTCACAAGTGAATTTTCTCAAAGCGTGTACTGTGTGTGTTCCAGAGGACATGGTTAGGTGGCATAAGTGAATTGGAGTTTGTGTGAGTAATATGTAACTTATATCTGACCATATTTTTGAATTGAGCCAGTCTCCTGTTACATAGGCTGTACAAACATCCTGGTCTGTTGAGACATCAACTATTAGGAAATATTAACCATTTCTCTAACCATTGTTTTGCTAGTCTTTGTCGTTGTTATGTGACCTCACCTGTGAACAGAATAGTTCAAGGGAGTTAAAACAGGGTCACCTATTCTCCCTCGTACAAGTACATAAACACTGTATTGGGCTTTAAGAACAGTCTGCTAAGCAACTTTTTTTTTTTTTTTTTTTGGAGACAGAGTCATACTCTTTTGCCCAGGCTGGAGTGCAGTGGTGTGATCTGGGCTCACTGCAACCTCCGTCTCCCACTTTCAAGCAATCCCTGTGCCACAGCCTCCTGAGTAGCTGGGATTATAGGTGTGCACCACCACGCCCAGCTAATTTTTGTATTTTCAGAAGAGACGGAGTTTTGCTCTGTTGGCCAGGCTGGTCTTGAACTCCCGGCCTCAAGTGATCCACCCACCTCAACCTCCCAAAGTGCTGGGATTATAGGTGTGAGCCACCACGCCCAGCCCAAAGCAAGGCAAATGACTGTGACCAGTCATTTGTAGATCCCCAAGAAGATTCTGCCTCTGCCAGTCAGAGCCTAGTGGTTTTCCTTTCTTGGGTTTTATGATGGCTCTAGAAGGTGCTGCTTATTGGTATGCTTGTAGTTTCCTTAAAGTGACGCCCGGTAAGCCAGCCGTAATGTGCTTTCTACGTTTATTTTTTTGAGACAAGGGCTCCCTCTTTTGCCCAGACTGAAGTGCAGTGGTGTAGTTTTGCTTACTGCAGCCTCCACCTTGGGCTTAGGCAATCCTTCCAACTCAGCCTCTCAAGTAGCTGGGACTACAGGCATGCACCACCATGCCTGGCTAATGCTTTTTTTGTAGAGATGGGGTTTTGCCATGTTGCCCAGGCTGGTCTCAAACTCCTGGGCTCAAGCAGATCCGCCTGCCTCAGCCTTCCAAAGTGCTGGGATTACAGGTGTGAGCCACTGTGCTCAGCCAGTGTACTTTCTAAAAATGCCTGGGACCCCTTTCTTCCCTTGATGTGGAAAATTGACCAGGGCTTCTCTGGCCCTTTTGTAAGTTGTAGTAGTGTGGCTCCTAAATCTTTGTCCAAGGATTGGGACCTGGCTGTACATCTTAATTACCTTTGGAGCTCTTTGAAAATACCATAGCCCACTGCAAGCCAATTGAGTTCAGAATTTCCATGTTAGAGTCCTAGTGTCTATATGTGTACAACAGTCCACAGATGATTCTAATATGCAGCCAGGCTTGCGAACTGCTTTGATCTTGTCATTACACTATAAACCCACTGTCCTTCATATCTGAATTATCCTTTATTGCCTGTGGTTGAGTGTTAAACCAGTCATTTTAATTCCTACTATGACATTTCATCTATGTTTGGTTCCTTTTGGCCAGCTGGGGCTACTTTTTAAAAAATAAATTCTGCTCTGAGACCTCGCTACAATGTAGCCTGACAACAGAGGCTCAGGGTACCCCTTATAGGTGAAACAAAGCTCATAATGAACAAGAATCTGGGTGCAGTGGCTTACGCCTGTAATCCTAACACTTTGGGAGGCCGAGTCGGAAGGATTACTTGAGGCCTGGAGTTCAAGACCAGCCTGGGCAACAAAGTGAGACCCTATCTCTACAAAAAATAAAATAATTAGCTGGGCATGGTAGCGCACACCTGTAGTCCCTGCTACTCCGGAGGCTGCAGCAGGAGGATTGCTTGAGCCTAGGAGTTGGAGAATGCCGGGAGCCATGGTTGTGCAACTGCACCCCAGCCTGGGCAATAGAGCAAGACCTTGTCTTTAAAAAAAAAAGGTGGGGGGGGGTGGATCACAAGGTCAGGAGTTCGAGACCAGCCTGACCAACATGGTGAAATCCTGTCTCTACTAAAAACACAAAAACTAGCTGGGCGTGGTGGCGGGCGCCTGTAATCCCAGCTCCTCAGGAGGCTGAGGCAGGAGAATCACTTGAACCCGAGAGGTGGAGGTTGCAGTGAGCCCAGACTGTGCCACTATACTCCAGCCTGGGAAACAGAGCAAGACTCCGTCTCAAAAAAAAAAAAGAAAAGAAAAGAAAACAGTATATTTAGAATATGTCGGAAAAGATGCATGTGGGGATCTGAATTGTTACAACTTTTTTTTCTGTCTTTTGTGGTGGTGTACACGTGTGTGTGTGTAACTTTGGAATTAGTGAATTATAGGTGGGAGCCTGCTTTAACCCCTGGAGTGTCTTATCTGTACACATCTCATAATTTATACATATTGTTTGCAGTATATAAAACTTCCTTTTTTTGCTCTTTTTTTTTTTCCCCAATGTTTCTTGGCAGATAGTTGTTCTAAAATATATGTAGTGGTATTGAAAGTGTTAATACCAAGAAGTTACACTGGCAGTTTTTCTTGTTTTTCAGACCTGGAATAATGCTTTTGGCTCAATTTAAAAATAGAATCTGTAATATTAGTGGAAATTAAACATTCTGAATAGCATAGAGTATGACATCTAAGCCACACTAAGCCAGGGTTTTTAAAAACGAGACTAACAGGCTGGGTGCAGTGGCTCATGCCTGTAATCTCAACACTTTGGGAGGCTGAGGCAGGAGGACCAAGCTGGACAATATAGTGAGATCCCGTCTTTAAAAACAATTAAAAAAAAAGTTAGGTGTGATGGCATGTGCCTATAGTCCCAGCTACTCAGGAGGCTGAAGTGGGAGAATCACTTGAGCCTAGAAGTTTTAGACCAGCCTGGGCAACATAGTGAGACCTTGTTTCTACAAAAAATTAATTAGTCAGTCACAGTGGCATGCTCCTGTAGTCCCAGCTACTAGGGAAGTTGAGGCAAGACGATCACTTGAGCCCCGGAGTTCAAGGTTGCTGTGAGCTAGGATTGTGCCACTGCACTCCAGCCTGGACAACAGAGTAAGACCCTGTCTCAAAAATAATAAATAAATAAATAAATATAACAAAACAAAATAAAAATTAGGCTAACAGCAACCGTTGTGAACCATTTACTTTGTATTTTTAATTGTGTTTTCTTCTGACTACCTAGTAAATCATGATATTCTGTGTGTTATAAGGTTTCTCAGAAAGACTATGTAAGTAACAAAAATAATGGTAATTACTATTTATTGAGCCAGCAGCATAAGATAACAGTGGGTGTTTGAGATGTGAATACTATCTCAGCTTTCTGCAACCTCTGCCTTAGGTTCAAGCCGTTCAAGCCTTATATGCCAGGTACCAAATCAAGTGCCTTGCATACATGATTTCATTTATTGTTCAGGGCAATGCTGTGATAAAACATAAGGAAGCTGAGGCTCAGAGAGGTCAGAGAGCCACACAGCTGGTGCATGGTGGAGCCACGATTTAAACACATCTGCCTGACTACAGAGAGCTATGCTTTTAACTCTTGTGCTGTTTACTTTTCTGGCCTGTTATAGCATGTTTGCTCAGAAGGTGAGCATGTATTAAGCCATTTTATTACCTGATGTTTAAAGAAGCATTGGAACCTTCAAAATTAAAATTGGTACTCATGTTTTTGCTTTTTGAACTAGAAAATGAAGGATAAATTAGAATTGTGTTGAGTATTTATATGACCACAGACTTCAGAATCTGACTGCCTGGGTTTGATTGAATCCTGACTTTCCACTTTCATAGCTGTGTAGTTCCTCATTCACTCTTTGTTGGCCTTGGTTTTGACATCAGTAAATCAGGATATAATAATACCTTCCTCTGATGGTGATGGTGCACCTTGTACAGTAAAGCTCTTAAAAGAATACCTGGCATGTACCTAACGTTTGTGAGCACCTGCTGTTAGCTATTACTTCCCTTTTACTTTGAATGATTCCCTTAAACTTTTTGTTTCCTTAGGCAGCATGCAATGTTGCTCCACGTGGCGTGTATGTTTGTGGTAACACCACGACCACCTCTGGTCTGACAGTAACTCTTTCAAAAGATAGTTCCTCTGGAGATTTTGCTTTGGAAGCTGGTGCCCTGGTACTTGGTGATCAAGGTGAGAAACCAAAGGGAATAACTAGTGATTCTGGTACTTCTTAAAAAGCCTTTTCCTTTTCAGTTAATTTCTTTACATTCTGTTTAAGAGACATTTAAATAGCACAGTCCTAACCAGTAAGTTGACACTGTCAGAAATAATCATTGGAAATGCAATATCATCATTTTTATACTACAGAATTGAAACTGTACTTAATGTCATTCATTTTCAGAATCTTATAGCAGATACAAGTATATGTAAAAATCAAATAAATATGTATAGTTCCCTACCCATCCCATTTCATACCACTTGTCACGTTTGTGATCTTTTTTTCTAAAGCCTGTTTTTAAGCTTTATAGTAAGCTCCCTGTAGGATGGGATTTGGATGTCTTGTTGACTGCCATGTTCCCATTGCCTTGTACATAGGGGCATAGTAAATACTTGTTGAATGCATTACTATTATTTAGCTCTAAATAGTTTAAAAATCTTGGCACTGACGAAAAGGTGGATGTCATCCCTGGCTCACAGAGGACTTGCAATAAGAGATTAGAGCTGTTACTTTAGATGTTTTGTTCTTTTTATGAGACACAGTCGCGCTCTGTCACCTAGGCTGGAGTGCAGTGGTGCAATCTCAGCTTTCTGCAACCTCTGCCTTCCAGGTTCAAGCCATTCTGGTGCCTCAGCCTCCTGAGTAGCTGGGATTACAGGTGTGCATGACCACATCCAGCTAATTTTTGTATTTTTAGTAGAGACGGGGTTTCACCATGTTGGCCAGGCTGATCTTGAACTCCTGGCCTCAAGTGATCCGCCCACCTCACCACCCAAAGTGCTGAGATTACAGGCTACAGGCATGAGCCACCACACCTGGCCTACTTTAGAATGAATAGTTTTGCCGTATTGTAAACCAACTCATTGGTTTTTTTGAGGATTTGAGTGATAGGTGATAAAAAATCCAGGCATAGGGCCCAGCAAGAAGAAACCTCTACACTGGGCTTTGCCACCTAGGTTTCTCTTTGTGATGCCTTCACCTTACTGGAAAAACATGTTCCTGTCAGGCAGTGCCCAGATTCCAGTCAAGTTAAGGTTGTTCACTCCTGGTTTTCCAGTGACTTCCACTTTTCTGAACCCAGGACCTAGTAGCCACATTTGACACAGTTAATCACTCCCTCCTACTTGAGACCCTTAACTCTCATTGGTTTCCAGGCCACTTTACTTCATTCTTTACTTCTTTCGCAGTCTTTACTGGTTCTTCATCTCCACACCCTCTTACTTGTTGTTAACTTAGGTGTAGTTCTTGGACCTTTTGTCTTCTAGATCTGTATTTACCTTCTTGGTGATCTTGGATTGTTTCATTGGCTTTACCTACCTATCTGTGAAAAATTCTAAATTTATAATCTCTTTTCCCTTAAATATCAGGCACATACTTCTTATTGTCTACACAGTATCTCCACAAATTTCTCAAACTTAACATGTCTAAAATTAAAATCCTGATTTCGCCTTTCACATCTATTTTCACAGTCTTCCTCATCTCAGTAAATGACAACTCTCTCATTCTAACTGCTCAAATCAGAGAACATGGAGCCATCCTTGACTTTTTCTCATACCCCATATTAATCTGTCAGCAAATCTTGCTGACTCTACTGTCAAAATATATCCGCTATCTAACCACTTCTTCATTACCCTGGTCCATGGCACCATCATGTCTCACGTGGATTATTACTGTAATCTCCTAATTGGCATACCTGTAACCACCCTTACCCCTTCCTGTTATTTTTAATACAGTAATCTCATTAAAAATTAGATTATGTTACTCTTTTGCTCACAACCCTCCAGTAACTGCCCATCTCGCTCAGAGTGAAAGCCAAAGTCTTGAGAGTGGTCCAGGGCCATTCACGTTCTGGTGTTTCACCTCTTTTGCCTCCTTATCTGCTGCTTCCCATGTTTCGTCTTCTCTAGCTCCACTGGCAGCTCTACCTTGGACACCACCAGCACACCAGGCAAGTCACATTTCCTCATAAGGGCCTTTGTACTTGCTGTTCCGTTTGCCTGGAATGTTCTTACCCCAGATAGAGCTGCAAAGGCTTGTTTTCTTTCCCCGTTCATGTTTTGCTCAACTGTCCTGATCCCAGTGAGGCCTTCCCTAAATACTGTATTTTAACTTATAACCTCTCCTGCCCTGCTGCCACCTTAGCAGACCTTATTTTCCTTACCCTAATCTACTTTTTCCTTCCATAGCACTTTTTACCTTCTATATTATTTACTTTTTTATTGCCTACCCACCGTATTGGCTGAGTAGAACGTAAGCTTCACAGGAGCAGGGAATTTTGTCTTTTCACTGCCATACCCGGCATGCCTAGAACATAGTACTTTTATATAGAAGGCATTCAGTTTATTGAATTTATACATTTATTGCATTTATATCCAGTAAATATTTGCTGAATAAATAAATACCAAAAACATGTATCTGGTTATTATATAGCTCATCAGAAGTGAGAATATATTTGCTAAGTACCAGGTAAAATATAGTAATAAAAAGATGATACTCATGAAACCATGCAACTTTTCATTAACTAGAAGTAGAAGGTGATTTGGAGGTTTTTAAAAAAAATTTTAATGCCAGTACTTTGGGAGGCCAAGGCAGGCGGATCACTTGAGACCATGAGTTTGAGACCAGCCTGGCCAACATGGCAAAATCCCATCTCTACTAAAAATACAAAAATTAGCTGGTGAAGTGGCACATGCCTGTAATCCCTGCTGCTCAGGTGGCTGAGGCACAAGAATCGCTTGAACCAAGGACATGGAGGTTGCAGTGAGACATGATGGTGCCACTGTACTCCAGCCTTGGTAACAGAACGAAACTCTCTCTCTCAAAAGAAAAAAAAAAGTTCAAAGTTTATGTTTTATGCTTTAAAACAAGGGGTCAGTAAACTTTGGTCTATAGGTCAAACCAGCCAGCAGCCTGTTTTAGTACAGTCCATAAGCTAAAACTGGCTTTTTATATTTTTAAAAGATTGTAAAGTACAAACAAACAAACAGAAAAGCCCAAGAATATGTAATATTGTGCATGGCCTGTGAAACTTAAAATATGTACTTCTGCATCTTTGCAGAAAAGGCTTGCCAGCTCCTGCTTTCCACTTTGAACAGTGACAGCCAGAGTAGGGAGTAGCTTGACTTTGTTCCTACCCCATCCCCATCTCTGAGGAACTGTATTAGCAATCTTGATAATTTCCAGTAATACCGTGAATCCAGAGAGGTATAGGCAGACAGAGCAATAGACAGCCCAGGGAAAGGTGGAGATAAAGCCTATGAGTATACCACTGCTAGGATCTTAGCACAGGCAGGGAAGGCTCACTATGTCCCAGAGCTCCACATTGAACAGCAGGAACAGGCTAATGCACTGGGATCCCCTGCCATGAATATGGGACACATTCCCAACAGAGGGGGGTAAACCCTCAGAAGAGAGATCAGCAAGAAAAGTGGCACAAAGTTCAACAAAGCCCCCCCTTGCTTCCCCCTCCTAAATCATTTAGGTTACCGAAAAGTGCAAACTGTAGCTGGAAAGGAAAAAATGGGACGAAATTACATTGGGAAAAGAGTATTGACAAGAATTCATGTATACTGTGTCAGAAAAAATAGGTTTGGACAGAGCAGCCATTGTTATACATGAGCAAGATAAAGAGACAGCATAGCAGCTATGAAGAAATAATGTAGGAAGAAAGAAAGACATTTAATATGCCCAATAAAAGACCTCACTCTAGACAAAATTATAATCTAAGGAACAAATGAAAATTTCCCATGAGTGTTTCATGTTTGATAAGAACATAAATTTAATGAAATAGCTCAAAACAAAAAGATAAGGATGTGAGAGACAAATTGATGACTAACAATGTTATTAAACTAATACGTAAAATTGACACTGCTGAATGAGAAATTATAAAGAGGAGATGCTTGAGATAATCACAGTGAATGCAAAAGAACAAAGCTTAATGCAATTAGAGGGGAAGTAACAGAGAGAACAAAGGAAATTCAACATAATTGGTTCCGTGAAGTAGAAAACCCAAACATGAAACCAGAAATGGATTCAAGGATAGAATAAAATCTGTTGAAATAAACTAAAGGCACTGAATGTACCAAGAATGTCATGTCTATTGCACAAGTTATTGGGGACTCTCTAACATTACCTTGTATTATTTGTCTTCCCTGCTCCCCATACCAGTTAGGTTAGCAGCTGGGGGTCAAAAAGACTAATCAGCAGTTATTTTCCATATACTCCTCTGTGCTAGCAAGGCTTACTTGGGTGTAGAGTAGATACGGAGGGGTTTAACCACAGCAAAGCCCTTCAGATGTGACCCCCAGATACTAACCTAACTGGTGTGGGGAGAAAGGAAGACAAATATTACAAGGTAATGTTAGAGAATCTCCAATAACTTAATGCAATAGACATGACATTCCTGGTACATATAGTGCCTTTAGTTAGTGGTGGTGCATTGTATTATGTTTAAAGAGGTTAAGTGATTTCCCTATAAGTGCATAGAAGTGTATAGACAATACCTGGTATAGGTTTTGAAATATACTTATTAAACATAATAAACTTATTATATGTGTTTTGAAGTATACTTAATAAAGAGAGTGTGTGTGTGTGTGTGTGTGTAAAATCTCACCTGTTTGAATTTAAGTACTTAAACGTTTTGAGGGTTACTCTTACCTCCTCTTCATTTTTGTAATCCTCACAACACAGTGCCTTGCGTATGAAAAATGCTAAAGGAATAACTATTACAGAAAACTTAGTTAAATAAGACAAATGTGTTACTTGTGGTGAAACAAACAGTAATTCTCCATTGTATGACATTTTATAATTTTAACTGCTGAAACAAATGGCAATAATTATTGTCAAACAATTTCTATCCTATAAAATTTGGAACTCGACCAAAGAAAAAATGTTTTTGTCTGCATTATTCTACTTTGATTGTAGGTATTTGTGGAATCGATGAATTTGATAAGATGGGGAATCAACATCAAGCCTTGCTGGAAGCCATGGAGCAGCAAAGTATTAGTCTGGCTAAGGCTGGTGTGGTTTGTAGCCTTCCTGCAAGAACTTCCATTATTGCTGCTGCAAATCCAGTTGGAGGACATTACAATAAAGCCAAAACAGTTTCTGAGAATTTAAAGTAAGTCTCCTCAAATATTTAGACCTTTAATATATTGAATCACTCTAATTCAATTAGAAAAAGAAATAGTTCACAGAACTATATGGGAAATACATGGATAGTTCACAGTAGTTACAGATGTCCAATAAATGCACAAAAATGTGCTTAAACACTGCAAAGTAAAACAATGAAGTACCAGTGAGATCCACCAGATTGGCAAACATTTTAAATATTAATCATTATTGGCAAAGTAGTGTGGAAATGGTTTCTCACTGGCTGGGCGGGTGACTCACGCCTGTAATTCCAGCACTTTGGGAGGCTGAGGCGGTTGGATCACCTGAAGTCAGGAGTTTGAGACTAGCCTGGCCAACATGGCAAAAACCCATCTCTAGTAAAAATACAAAAATTAGCCAGTCGTGATGGCAGCCGCCTGTAATCTCAGCTACTTGGGAGGCTGAGGCAGAATTGCTTGAACCCGGGAGGTGGAGGTTGCAGTGAGCTGAGATTGTGCTACCACACTCCAGCCTGGGTGACAAGAGTGAGACTCCATGTCAAAGAAAAAAAAAGAAATTGTTTCTCACATACACAATTTATTATTTTGAAGGACCCCTTGGTATGTTAATCACAATTCTAAATGCACATTCTGTTTGTTATAGCCACTCTACTTTTAGGACTACTGTTCACAGAAATAGTCATACAAGTGCACAATGATAGGTTTATAGCATGGTATTGCAGCATTATTGCTGCCAAAAATTGGAAACACCTTAAAACTATAGTAAGACTGAGTGATTATGAGAACAAAAATGGCTTTGTATGTACTAATGGGGGGACATGTCTGTGCTGTACTATTAAGTGAGAAGAGCACATTAACATACTTAAATATGTGGTGTGATCCCGCTTTTTTCAAAAACAATGTTTATATCTGTGTTTTCTCTTCTAATTCATTCTGTACCTCTTGGACAAAATGTGTGGAAAAGGAAAAATAAGTGATACAAAAGTGAGAAAAAGACAAAAGAGTGCCTCCTAAAAAATTAGAGCCTTAAGCCTAGTGGGAGTGGAGTTAATTTCCTGTTGTTTAATAATGTATCAATATAGAAACAGTCTTTGATACATAGTGAAATACACAATTGGTACTTGGAGATTTAGGGTATTTACCACCACCACCAAAAAAGTCGACCTACTAGTAGTTTTTCTTTAGTAAAATGACAAAATGCTATATTAGAAAAATCAGAAAGATCTATTGAACAAAAATCCAGGGGACTTAGATTTTGTTTTTTAATGGTATCATGAACAAAATACTGAACTAGCTAACCTCTGATATGTCATGTAGCAGTATTGCTAATTAGTGATAATAGGACATAAAGAAGAATTCAGTGGGTTTGGTGGTGTGAGAAAGGGCCATGTCCTCAATCTACCCAGGGTAGATACATGTAATTCTTGTGCCCATGTTGCAGTGGGTGGATACATTAAATCCAGGAAGCTATTTGCTTATTTCTTTAACCTAAATCTTGGTTTTTCAAGTTCTGCATGGAACTTGAGTAGTAAACAAGTGAGTAAACAATTTTCTTGTTTTTCCTTTTGATTGCAATCATTGTTTCTTCTTTCTTTCATGCTTCGTAGAATGGGGAGTGCACTACTATCCAGATTTGATTTGGTCTTTATCCTGTTAGATACTCCAAATGAGCATCATGATCACTTACTCTCTGAACATGTGATTGCAATAAGAGCTGGAAAGCAGAGAACCATTAGCAGTGTTACAGTAGCTCGTACGAATAGTCAAGATTCAAATACTTCGGTACTTGAAGTAGTTTCTGAGAAACCATTATCAGAAAGACTAAAGGTATAAATGTTTCTTCTCCTTATTCAGTTTGGTTCTGTTTGAAAGTCAAAGTTCAGTGTGTGGCTTATTGTAGAGCAGGATATAAACTTAATCAGAACTTTTTAATATTTCAATACTAGAGTTTATGTAAACTTCATTTGAAATAATCTAAGTCAGCCTGGCGCAGTGGCTCATACCTGTAATCCCAGCACTGTGGGAGGCCGAGGCAGGCAGATCACGAGGTCAAGAGATCAAGACCATCCTGGCCAACATGATGAAACCCTGTCTCTACTAAAAATACAAAAATCAGCTGGGTGTAGTGGTGTGTGCCTGTAATCCCAGCTACTCAGGAGGCTGAGGCAGGAGAATTGCTTGAACCTGGTAGGCAGAGGTTGCAGTGAGCTGAGATCACACCACTGTACTCCAGCCTCAGTGACAGAGAGAGACTCCATCTCAAAAAAAAAAAAAAAAAGGAATCTAAGTCAGATAAAGTATTTGGTTGATTTGAAGAGTCTTTTAGAATTGTGTATTTGTCTAAACAAGTTACTTACGTATTTTGAGACATAGTCTCACTCTGTCGCCCAGGCTGGAGTGCAGTGGTGTGATCTTGGCTCACTGCAACGTCCATCTCCCGGGTTCAAGAGATTCTCCTGCCTCAGTCTCCCAAGTAGCTGGGACTGCAGGCGCGTGCCACTACACCCGGCTAATTTTTGTATTTTTAGTAGAGATGGGGTTTTGCTGTGTTGGCCAGGCTGGTCTTGAACTCCTGACCTCAGGTGATGTGTCTTCCTTGGCCTCCCAAAGTGCAGGGACTACAGGCGTGAGCCACTGCACCTGGCCTAAACAAGTTATTTTAGCAGAAAGATTTTATTTGCCACTTATCTTTGTTATCTTGGGCCTTTTAATCATGCTTCAGGTGGTTCCTGGAGAAACAATAGATCCCATTCCCCACCAGCTATTGAGAAAGTACATTGGCTATGCTCGACAGTATGTGTACCCAAGGCTATCCAAAGAAGCTGCTCAAGTTCTTCAAGATTTTTACCTTGAGCTCCGGAAACAGAGCCAGAGGTTAAATAGCTCACCAATCACTACCAGGCAGCTGGAATCTTTGATTCGTCTGACAGAGGTTTGTTTCTTTTTATGGTCATGCTTTTTTGGCTTAAAGGGGAAGGGTGTGCCTTGACTTCTCTTTTGAAGTATTGTCTGCATAACTGACTCCGTTTTTCTTTCTATTGAGAGACGTTAGAAATGGATGGATGAAAGTTTTTAAAAAGATTTTGTCATGTCTGTAACATATCAAAGTATAGCTACTTCTTTCTAGTCATACAATCAATTACTTAGCATGCAACTTTTGTTTTTCTTTGACTGACTCTTAGGAGACTCCTGGAATGTCTGAAAAGTGGTTAGGTTAACTAGGATTCTGAGATCCCAAGTTGAGTATATGGGAACACGGAATGTGTCAGGTATCTTGAGTATTTTATTTTATTACATGACAGGTTCACAAGGATAGTGCCTGTGTTTTTAACAGTAGTAATATCTATTCACAGTTGTGAAATACTAAGAGAACTCCAGCAGTTAAGATTAGCTAGCTTAGAGTTTGGACTTTTAGCTCCTAAAATCTGATTAACTCCTCTTTGTTGTTTTACCATATTGGTTAGGCATGATTTCCTAAAAGTAAAAGGCAAGGGAAAACCAAGTGTATTTTATCATCCAATCTCCTGAAATGAATACTGAGAAAGATACATTAATAAGTAAAAACGAGTTTTATCCTTATTTTAAGTGAGTTGTAATTTCATAGTCAAGGTTTCAGATTTTATTTTATTTTTTTTGCCCTGAGTCAGGGTCTCCCTCTGTCACCTAGGCTGGAGTGCAGTGGCATGATCAAGGCTTATTGCAGCCTCTCCTCCCAGACTCAAGCGATCCTCCCACCTCAGCCTCCCAAGTAGCTGGGACTACAGGCATACACCACCGCACCCAGCTAATTTTAAAATTTTTTTGTAGAGACAGGTCCTCACTTTGTTGCCCAGGCTGGTCTCAAGCTCCTGGGCTCAAGTGATCTTTCCACCTTGGCCTCCCAAAGTGCTGGGATTATAGGCGTGAGCCACCACCGCCAGCCCAGAGAATTATTTTCATATTTTGACTTCTGATGTTATGACCTTCCTCACCTAAAGGTCAGTTTTTGTGTAAAATTAGTAAATGAAGTAAAGCTTAGACATACTATGGTAAATATATTCATCTTTTGTCATCTGAAAATGGTGTTTTCTTTTAAAGGCACGAGCAAGGTTGGAATTGAGAGAGGAAGCAACCAAAGAAGATGCTGAGGATATAGTGGAAATTATGAAATATAGGTAAGATAAAAATATCAAATAGTTTTAAATGAAATACCAGTTATCTTCCCATCTCAAATTAGGCAATAGGCCAAGGCTGCTTTTATTTAGCCCATTGGGTCACTTATTTTCCTCCTGAACAGAGTATCGTTTCTTAGTTTAAAATATTTCTCACTGTGTAAATAATCTTTAAAATTTTTTTGAATGAGTAATACATTTACATAGTGCTATAATCAGTTCCAAAACCTATTGGAGAAGAGCTAGCTCCTGTGCTATTTACCACCTACTCGCCCTTCACCCAGAAACCCATTGCTTTTCCATAAATAGTCTACCGATTACACTCTTCTGTATCAGTTTTGAATTTTAACAATATATTCAGAGATCTTTTCTTATTAGAGATTCTTTTTTTATAGCTACAGAGTATTCTATAGTGTAGATATACTATATAGTATATTTGATCAGTTCCCTATTGACACATAGATATTTTCCATTCTTGTGCTTTTAAATAATGCTACAGTGAGTAATGTTCTATGTAAGATACTATATACGTGGGTAAGTTGTACACCTACATGATAAATTCTCAGAAGTGATATTTCTGGGTTCAACAGTAAATACTATAGGTTTTTGATAAATATTAGTAAATTGTATCCTTTGCATTTTACATCATTTAGTAGATAATGATTCCTAGAAAGTAGAAAAGAAAAATTAATTGAGCATATATGTTTACCTTAGACATAGACTTTTAAAAATCAGAAATATTATTTTAGGTAGGTTTTTTATTCCAGCTAAAAAATTTTTTAATAGGTCCATACTTTCATAAGCTTCAAAATTCCAAAGTTCAAAAAGTATAGGTTGGACACAGTGGCTAACACCTGTAATCCCAGCACTTTGGGAGGCTGAGGCAGGTGGATCACCTGAGGTCAGGAGTTCGAGAACAGCCTGGGCAACATGGTGAAACCCCGTCTCTACTAAAAATACAAAAAATTAACCAGGCATGGTGGTGAGCGCCTGTAATCCCAATTACTTGGGAGGCTGAGGCAGGAGAATTGCTTGAACCTGGGAGGCGGAGGTTGCAGTGAGCTGAGATTGTGCCACTGTACTCGAGCCTGGGTGACTGAGCAAAAAAAAAAAGTATATAGTGGAAAAAGTTTCCTCCTACTCTGCTTATTTAATAGCTACCCCGTTTTTCCTGCTAGCCAGTGGCAATTATTAGCAGTTTTTTGTGTGACTATGTATCTATATATTCTTTTTTCCTCTTTGTAGACAAATGGTAACTATAACAACATACCATATACATACTATACCTTGTTTTTTTCATTTAAAATGCATTTTTAATATCCTCTCATAGCAATGAAAATACATATCTGTTAGGAATCTACTTTTCCAAGACCAAAAAATATATTGAAGATGAAATTATTTATCTTACTTTGTTAAGTAATTTCTGATTCTTCTAAGGTAGATGAATTCTTTTGTCCTAGTAGCTGCTGATTCTGGGGCTTGCGTCGTGTCAGAACCAGGTGGTTTTGCCCAGCTATTCCCCTTTGGCTGTGAACAAAAGTGCAGCATAGCTGGAAGAGCAAGGGCTCTGGAGTCCAACCTGGAGCTGCCATGGCAAGTTACACACTGCTTCTCAGTTTCCTCTGCTGTAAAACACACCACAAAGGATTGTGCTCTGAGGTGTCATGCAGTGATGCTCTATAAAGTGATAAATAGGGTTCTGATACATTAGAGGACACTCAATAAACACTGTTTACTATCAATAGCGCAAGTCTTTTTTTTTTTTTTGAGACAGAGTCTGGCTCTGTGGCCCAGGCTGGAGTGCATGTTGGCTCACTGCAACCTGCACCTCCTGGGTTCAAGTGATTCTCCTACCTGAGCCTCCCAAGTATCTGGGACTACAGGTGCATGCCACCACACCTGGCGGATTTTTGTATTTTTAGTAGAGACAGGGTTACACCATGTTGACCAGGATGGTCTCCATCTCCTGGCCTTAAGTGATCTGCCTGCCTCGTCCTCCCAAAGTGCTGGGATTACAGGTGTGAGCCACCACGCCTGGCCTGATAGTGCAAGTTTTGTTGATATTCAGATGAGGCTGAGCAGATCCCCTTTTCTCTGAGTTATACCATAAACTGAAGGCCTCAAAAACTGGCAGATCTCATCCTAGATAAGAAGTTTCTAAAATTACCCTTTTCAAAGAATTTTTATGTTCTAGTCCTCAATGCCCTCCATCTAAATTGTGCAGTATGTCTTAGCTGCAGATCCTTTTCTTCTTGTCTTTTCCTCATAGGGAGACACTTTACCTAGTTGTCTCTTTGACCCCAGCCTGGTACTGGCCCATCCCTGGAGGCTGCTGTCTTCTCTCTGCTGCCTCTGGAAGTATGCATATGGGTAGAAGGGCACCCATGTCACCTCCTGAAGGTGCAATCATCTGTAGCTTGTTTCCTGCCCTTATAGGAAGTCCATGGAAGAAGAGGAACCTTTCTCCTTAATTCAGTCTCAGTTTGTAAGTAGCAGTGAGGTTCTACTGGCTGTCTTTGAAAGCTTTAAAGATTCTAGAATTGACAGCTCTTAATTTTTTATTGGTGGCACCAAAGTAACTGCCTCATGATAAGAAAAATTAATAATTATTGACTCCCGACCCCTTTCAGCTAATTTCTAACAACTCACCTTCTGTGTCTAAGTATCCTGTTGGTATGGCATCACACAGTGCTTTTTTTTTTTTTTTTTTTTTTTTTTAAGACAGAGTCTCGCTCTGTCATCCAGGCTAGAGAGTACAGTGGCGTGATCTCAGCTTACTGCAACCTCTGCCTCCGGGTTCAATCGATTCTTCTGTCTCAGCCTCCTGAGTAACGGGGATTATAGGCATCTGCCACCATGCCCAGCTAATTTTTTTGTATTTTTAGTAGAGATGGGGTTTTGCCAAGTTGGCCAGGCTAGTCTTGAACTCCTGACCTCAGGTGATCTGCCCACCTTGGCCTCCCAAAATGCTGGGATTACAGGTGGGAGCCACTGCGCCTGGCATCACACAGTGCTTGATCCATCAATTTTCTCTTTATGTGATTCAGTACTAGGGTTTGAGGGATCTTGTAGCTAGAAATTTTGCCAACCTGGCTTTAGTCCCTCTCCAGTTGATCTCAATATATGTTGGAGACCCTCCAGTTGCCATTTAATAAGCAACCAGATAGTCTAGAAATTTACTAGACTTTCTAATACAACTTGCTGCTAGGGGCATGGCATGCTAGCATATGAAGTTAAAAAATGGCCACAAAATCTAGTTGTCTGCCTGACTTCTTGTGGATATGGCTTTCTGAGAGACCAGACTAGAGACTGACCTAGCAGAGATATTTTTTCCCATTAGGAAAGTAAGTCACAACCCAACCAAAATTTCAGAATTTTTTTTATTTTAACTTTTTTTCCTATAACAAAAACAAAGACTAAAAATAGGTACTTCTTATTTAATGATGAGAAGGTGATTACAGTCTAGGATGTGTGCATCTTGCTTTCTCTGTTTCCTGCACTTGAACACTCCACCTTTGGGAGTGTGGCTGAGATTCCCACTCCTGATTTCCTTTTCCTTTTAATGACCTCTGGGTCTTCTGGTGCCTGGCTCTCCTGAATATCATGTTTCTACTTTGTAGACTGTTCATCTGTTGAGCAAATTAAGGTGTACACTACCCTGCTCCTTTTCTCTCTTAACCAGAATTAACATTCTCCTTTTGAGGCTTTACCATTGCTCAGTTTCTGCAGGCCTTAGACCACAGACATCACCTCAACTGTCTAGTGTCTCTCCACAATAAATTCACTGATCTGTGGACACGGTAGATTAGTTCTCCTGAGCATCATGCTTAAGCAGAGTAAATTAGGCTATAATTACCTTTTCAATAAAAATGCTATGTTGCCCATTTGTGGTTGGCTTATACTTGGTATAAGATTTCTCTGCGTGTCTGAATACTCATGTTGGATAGTGTTTGCATGTGCTTTCCTGTGCAAGAGGAACTCTTAAGTGTTGTCTCATGGAACTCTGTATTCGTACTGCTTCCCAGAGTTGCTTTGGTGGTAAATTTGAACAAGTTTCAGATCAGTTTACATCTGGGCCCCTGAAAAAAAGAGGTCTTATTATTAAGTGTAAACAGTACCCACATGACATTACCAGATTGTTTCCCTGAATTGTCTTAGTGTGTTTACTGGCATTCATAAAAATTTTCAGGAAAAAGAAAATAGTTTGATTGGAATTACCTGACACTACTTCCATGGTAGAGATCAAGATCCAGTGAAACACAATGAAATTAGATTATGAATTACCTGTTTGTTATGCTTAACATGCATTCTGTCCTTAGTTCATGAGAGCAGGGACCTTATCTGACTCATTTACCAGTATATTCCCAGGGCCCAGAATCAAGCCTGCCATAAAGTAGGCCCTCAGTAAATGTCCTGCATTGATGGTAAAATTGACCTTAGTAATCATTCATTCATTCATTAAATCTTCCATTTCAGGGTTTTCATCTCTTCAGCTTTGTTCAATTTTTGCCCTTAATGTGGTTTTAAACCTTTTAAGATTACATTTTAACTGGGAAGCCAACAGTTGAATAAGAAAGTTCTTAAACTGTGACATAGCTTGTCTGAGTTACCAGAGCACTTAGCTTTATTTTAAAAACTAAATGCTTATATTTAGTAAACAGTTGACATAAGCTTTCTCCTAAAATTGAAAATACACGAGGTAGCAGAAGAGAACAGAGCCACCTTCAAAGGTGAGAGATCACTGTGAGTTTTTTTCTGTTTCAGGAAACTAGCTCAAATATTTTACATAGCTTTTTAAAATCTGAAGCAGTGTAGCAGATTCAAATCTGAGATATGCCACTTACTAATAAAGTGACTTCTGGCGAGTCACTTTAATCTTAGTGTAGATTGGTGCAAAAGTAGTTGCAGTTTTTGCCATAAGAAAAAAAAATTTCAAAAACCACTATTACTCTTGCGCCAACCTAATAAGAATGTTTTTTCATCCATAAAATGGGAATAAAAATAGTTCCTAAATCACAGGATTGCTGGGAGGATTAAGTGGGATAGCCTATGGTAAATAAATATAATTAAGATAAATGTTACTTATTATTATTAACCGAAAACATTTTTAACAACTTTCTTATGAGAAACAAGCATATGGGAGGTTCATCATAAAAGAGATTATGCTGTATTTCAGAGGAAAACACCATCTTGCTGTTTTATCATTTTTAATAGTCTTATTTGAATGACTCATTCCTATGTAGGCTTTTATGTATAACGTAGGCTTTTAACTACTCAAAGAACAAAAGGAAGCTTTATTGTTTATAACCCATTAAAATCATTCCTGCATGCTCCTTAAGGGGAGGGATTATACCTGTTTTGTTCACCACTATAAGCCTATTGCCCAGCAGGTGACCAGTATGTATTTGACTAATTAATTAATTCCTGGTTAAATAACAGTTTTGCCAGTTATTCTGGCTGTGAAATACAGCTATCCCATTGTTCAAGCAGGGAATCAGCAATAGAGTTGGATTAAACAGGATGGTTAATTGTGTTTCTAACTGGTGTTTTCAGACTTCTAGCTAAAATTCACTATCAAGTACGTATTTCTTTCCTTGGTGATATTGGGAAAATAAGAGGAAGCAGAAGAAATCTGGCAGTAACAAGTGCATCCTTTAATATCTAACCATTATCACTGCAACTCACCATAACCTTTCTAGTTCATTCCTATAGTATTTTAAATACCTTTTATTTAAAATACTGGTGCCGCCAGATGCTGCTCCAGGAGATAGGATGCATTTTTATTCAGTAAAGTCTAAATTTATTATATTTAGAATTTCTTTTCTTCATGAATCAGAATGAATGTCCCAGGTATTTATATTGTAGTTTATCAATTTTGTGTTTTTATGCATTTCTCTCTTCAAATTTAGAAGTTTCTTAAAAGCAGTAATTGTGTCCAAAATATTTTTATTCCTTATCAATCCTTATCACAGTGAATGTCAAAGTGGCCACTCAATAAACACATGTTGAAATGTTTACTAAGTGAGCCTAGTGGCTACTTCCAAATTTTTCTTCTGTAACCTCAAAGCCCAGGACAACAATTTCTATGGCAGTGCCACATTGGGTAATTTTTTTCTTCCTTTCTTTTTAAGCATGCTAGGAACTTACTCTGATGAATTTGGGAACCTAGATTTTGAGCGATCCCAGCATGGTTCTGGAATGAGCAACAGGTCAACAGCAAAAAGATTTATTTCTGCTCTCAACAACATTGCTGAAAGAACTTATAATAATATATTTCAATTTCATCAACTTCGGCAGATTGCCAAAGAACTAAACATTCAGGTATGTTAAACTAGTTAATCTCTTTTGTAATAATTTCAGGAGGTCCTTATTAATATATAGTAGAACAGAAACAGTTTTTACTTATTTAAAATTCATACCTGCTTCTTCTCAAAGGCTTTTCAGCATCTTGATAGAGGGAAACATTATAGTAAGACACAGTCTGTATGTTTTTTTGAAAGTTTCTTGTGGATAAGTCATTTTAGTATCTTTTAACCTCAGTTCCCTCATCTGTTAAATGGACATGATTATACCTGCTATTCCTACTTCAAAGTTCTTGTGAAAATCAACATAATAGCACTTCAAACGTGCTATTACACATTATGGAAAATTAACTTCTTAATTTCAAAAGTTAGTTTGATTTTTGTTTTTCAGCTAACCTGAAACAAATGTAAAATATTCTCTGCCTATTGGAATTTTTATTTTTTATTCATCTAGGCTTTATAGAATCCAGAGCTCAAATATAGGCAGTTTGCTCTGTAAGAAGTAAACACAATTTTATTTGGCAACAAAACTTTACAGTTACATATTATTGTTTGAGAGATTTATTTTAAAAGTAATATTTTGACATGTTACTTAATGGGCTAAACCTTTTGATGTTTTCTTCCAGGTTGCTGATTTTGAAAACTTTATTGGATCACTAAATGACCAGGGTTACCTCTTGAAAAAAGGCCCAAAAGTTTACCAGCTTCAAACTATGTAAAAGGACTTCACCAAGTTAGGGCCTTCTGGGTTTATTAGCATATTAAAGCCATCTCAGTGAAAACATGTGTGCGCGCACAGACACACACATACACACACACACACACACACACACACACACTCTCTCAAATACTGTTCTCTGAAAAATGATGTCCCAAAAGTATTGTAAGAAAAAAGCGTTAAACATAATAAACTAATTTAAGAAGTGATAAAGTCTCCAGATGCAGTAGCTCACACTGTAATCACGGCGATTCAGGAGGCTGAGGTGAGAGGATTGCTCGAGACCAGGGTTTGAGACCAACCTTGGGCAACATAGCAAGACCCCATTTCTTTTAAAAAAAAAAGAAAAATTAAACTTAGCTGGGTGTGGTGGCACATCCCTGTGGTCTCAGCTACTTGTGAGGCTGAGGCAGGAGGATTATTTGAGCCCAGGAGTTTGAGCTTACAGTGAGCCACGAACACACCATTCACTGCACTCCAGCCTGGGCAATAGAGTAACTCTTGACTCAAAAAAATAAAAAAAAATTGTAGTGGTAGCCATGTGTTAATTGTTAAATAAATTCTCCAAAAGGCTAAAATTACTTATAAATTTTTTATAGTTATATTTTTGACCTGCCTTTTATATGTGTATTTCATAGTTTTGCATATCAAATGTGGGCATTCAGACAAATATATAAACCAATGAACATTTACATATTCTGCGTTCCAATAAATATTTATGGACACTAAAATTTGAATTTCATAGTTTTCCCATGTCAAAATACAAAATCCCCAATTTTTGATTTTAGCCATTTAGTAATAGGCCTCATTTATTCTACAGGCTGTAGTTTATAATACAGTCTTGCTTGCAAACATAGAAACAGACTGATTAAGCAGGAGAAGTTTTTTGAAAGAATTTTGGTTAGCTCACAGAATTATTAGAAGGCAGGTGAACCAGGAGGGTAAGCTTACAGCAGCAATTTGTAAAACCATGCCTTAGACTTAGACCAAGGAAGAAGCTGCTGACACTGCTGCCACACAGGGCACTGGAAGAAAGTGCTACTGCCACCATGCCCTACCTTTGCCACTTCTGCAGCAAGAATAGGTAGAAGAATGCCCCCACCCACACCAGAACAGCAACAAAAGGATTCTCCATGAGGCGCCTCCCTAAATTGCTGAATTCAAAAAAGAAGTCTCATCCAAAGACATCTGATTGAAAAAGGTTATGTTATATGCCCCTTTCATAGGCTGCTAGGGAGTTTTCCTGGTTCTACTTTTGGGTGGTGGGATCAATAAGACCAGAATTTCTCATATGTTGTTAGAGGATTCAGATGTTACAGGGTTGCCAGCCAAACTATCAATCATGTGTAAATCCAACCAACACTTTGTAACATACAAGAATTCAGGAAATAACCATTGTTGGAGAATCTACTGAAATACAGCTTCCAGCAAACCAGAAGATGAATGGAAAATGTAAATAAAAAGAACTGGCAGTATATATCAGATGTTTAACTGTAGGACCAAAACTAAGATGTGGAGACTATTGTTACAGACCACAATGTAATTTTTTTTTTTTTAAGTGAGGAAGAAGAAATCAGGAATAAAAAGAGGGGCTAGGCGCAGTGGCTCACATCTATAATCCCAGAGCTTTGGGAGGTTGAGGCAGGAGGATCACTTGAAGCCAGTTTTGAGAACAGCCTGTGCAACACATTGAGACCCTATCTCTACAAAAAATAGATTAGCTGGGCATGGTGGTGCATGCCTATTATCCTAGCTACTGTGCAGGCGGAAGTAGGAGAATCACTTGAGCCCAAGAGTTTGAGGTTACAGTGAGCTATGATTATACCACTGTACTCCAGCCTGGGCAAGAGAGCAAGACCTTGTCTCTTATAGGAAAAAAAAAAAAAGGAGAAAGTAGATAGTAGCATAAATATAGTGAAGTCTTTAAAAGCTAGGGGTTAAAAGATATTTAAAGCAAATAACTCAGGCATGGTGGCACGCGCCTGCAGTCCCAGCTACTAGGGAGGCTGAGGCAGGAGAATCGCTTGAACCCGGGAGGCAGAGGTTGCAGTGAGCCAAGATCACACCACTGTACTCCAGCCTGGGCAACAGAGTAAGACTTTCTCCAAACTAAGTAAGAGATATTTAAAGCTAAAAAAAATCTATTAATAGAATTTAAAACATTTCATGAAAGTCAACACATAAATAATATCAACCAAAATAAAGTGGTAGACAGAAGAGGAAATGTACTAATTTATTGTTCAAAGAGGAAAATAAGTCTCAAAGGTTAAGGATATTATGTACATTTATTTTTTAAAAGACATAAACGTACATTTTCAGAAGAAATTGTTCCATGTTTCCTTAGATTCTGTATTTAGCATCCATTAATCACAGGGCCAAACTAACAAATGCTGTTTAGCTTTCTCTTACCATCCAGCTTTTGTGGGTATGCAAACATCACATTACAGTCCCTCCAACCACGAACCCCAATATATAGTATTTCACTTCCTGCCCGATAGGGGGTGTCCCCACACCTTTCAACCACTGTAGCAACAAAGCTCTGGCCTAGGCTTTTCACTTGCTTCTGTACTGCCTGACTGACTGTGGTGTTTCCTAATGTGGCCTGGGGTGGTGTGGCATGCCCTCTTGGGAGACGAAAGTAATTTTCTATAGGCAGTTGTTTCTGTGTCACCATTGCTGATTAAAACAAATCCTAAGTACAAATGTCAGAACAGAAACATGCAAAGCAAGAAAACATGACATCATGAAAGTTTCTTTTTCTTGTGGTTTTTTTTTTTTGAGACAGAGTTTCACTCTTTTTGCTCGGGCTGGAGTACAGTGGCGCGATCTCGGCTCACCGCAACCTCCGCCTCCTGGGTTCAAGTGTTTCTCCTGCCTCCGCCTCCCAAGTAGCTGGGATTACAGGCATGTGCTACCATGCCCGGCTAATTTTGTATTTTTAGTAGAGA